GTCTCCGTGCTCCACCACCGACAGCTGGACGGGCCCCTGTGCAGGCGGCAGCAGGGACAGCTGCGGGGGGTTCGGGATGAGACGGCCCATCTCTACGCCCCCGAAGATCACCTGTCCAGGGCTGGAGTAGCGGTTGGAGACCGGGTACTGGGTGGCATTCTCACTGGTGTGCTCAGCTGCGCCCATGGCCGTGGTCTGATTGGTCAGGACGTCCAGCTGCACGTTCTGATGGGCCAGCAGGGACTGGACCAGCCCGATGCTCTGCGTGGGGGACATGGCTTGCGCTGAGCTGTGGATGGGTGCGATAGGGATGTTCACGGTACAAGGTGGGTTGTTCTCAGGCACGCCAGACGCTCCTGTCACTGGAAGGAAGTGAGAAAAACAAGCTGCTCACAAATAGTTCGGTGGAACTGGGTCGGAATAAGTACCACCTCTCAGTTCACCCAGACCTTTGTCTACAAATGCAATTAGACGGACATGCTTTTGCTGGGGGAAAGCTGATTTGTTCACACAAGTTACATGAAGCTTCTCTGGCGTTTCTGGAAGGGCACCAGGTCACAGGTGGGTCCTGTAGGCAGCCTGTCCTCACTCATTAGCTAAAGGCACTGGCAGGGCTTCTCAAAGAATACACTTTTGAACCTTCTCAATTTGGCACCATGTGCTCAAATGGTACCATGGCAAATACTTGTTTAAAGACGCTTTGTGCTCATAATAATCCCAGGAGGTTTCTCCATGGGTATTGGTCAATGTGGAATGTGCCTGTAGCAAACAGCAGACGTGTATCTGAAATTTTTATGTAAATTAAGTTCCTGTAATAGAACATGTAAAATGGAGTATAGAAACCAATAAAAAGAACACACAACAAATCTTCGTATTGGGGAAGGCTCATTTCCTAATTTATCTGCTGTTTAGCATTTCAAACAATATGTAAGGTTGGGGTTAACATATCCTGTCTGTGGGTGGTGAGAACTTAGGGTACACACTTGAGCAATGACCGGGAGATACTGGCAGGTGCCCAAAAGCCCCCATTCTGTCTGCCCTGTCTAAAGTGGCTGTGAGCAACTTTGCTTACCTGGGCCTCCCTGAGTGCTGTGTGCCAACCAGAATGAGCAGGAAGTAGAATTTAAAGGGTCACTGTAAAGGCTGGTGGCCTTTCACCAGAACTACAGAATGAAGCCAGTTGGTTCATCAAAAGCTAAGCCCACCTTGGCTCCTGTAAGAGATGGCCCTCCCTGAGGAAGTCCTCTAGTGAGATGTAACTCTCGCCTGGCTGCAGGGTCTGGGTCCTGTCTCAAGTTTCCTATTGTTCCTCTTCAAACCCCTCCTCCAGATGTTCTTTCATCTGTATGGAATACTGTGGGCAGGCATCGTCCCTGCTAAAGGGGAGTCTCTTTGCCGTGTCACCAGCATTAAGTGTAAGTCCTGAGACAAAATGCTCCCTCCTCTCACTGGGAACCACAGCAGCAGGAAGGGCTGCGCATCAGAGAGCAGGGGGACGTTCGGGAGACTGAGAGAGACTTCTAAACCCCACATTCTGCAACAGCAGGGGACGTGCCAGGAAGGCAAGCTGCGGGGCCTCCGCACACTGCAGGTGAGTGTGGCTGCAAGCTCCGCTATTGGGACTGTGGCCATCAGAACATGGGCTCCACCTCGGACGGCTCCTGTCAGAAAGCACAGGTCACTTTACAGTAAAAACCTGGGCCGAGAGAAGGTCAACCACTCCCCGAGTTCAGAGCCGAGGCGGATGCATGTCCCTCTCCGCTCCACCACGAGGATCCACTGTTCGAGAACGACCAGATTCGGAGAATGTGGGGTTTCTTCTGGCTCAGAAACCAGAGACGTTCAGACCCTGCTTGGATATACGTAGAGGAGTCTCTATAGCGTTTATAACATTGAAGGTGGATTTTTTTGAGAATAGTTACATACAAATAATTGGCAGATTAATTAGAAATCATTATAATCTATTAACCAAAATAGGATCTCCTAGTAGAAAACACTACAGTGGGGCCTTGACTTATGAGTTTAATTTGTTCCGTGACGGAGCTCGTAACTCAAATTACTCATATGTCAAATCAACAGTGAACGAGTGAGACACGTGATACTGGGCTGATGCTGCGGGGTTCACTGTGACGTTCGCTGCGCCAACTAGCGGTGGGGTATCTGAAGCTGGCTCATAACCCAAATTTTAGCTCGCAACTCAAAGCAAAAAATCAGCCAAGAGACGGCTCGTATCTCGAAAAACACGTTAGTTGGGACACTTGTAAGTCAAGGCCCCACTGTATAGACATTTGAAAATGTATAAGCTGGATGGTGTATGTGACTGACCCATTAGGGCCTCTACATAAACTTTGAAGATTCTGGCAGTGGGAGTGGAATCTGCCAGTCTCACAGCCGCCCAAGGTAAGCCGCCTAAGTCCCCTTGCTCATTAAAACTGCCACCGGCCCACCTGGAGTGGCCTGCCTTTCTACGGTCTCTCTCAGCCCTCCCGGTAAGGGGCCGTTTTCAGATCCTCCCCAAGAGGATCCCAAGGAGGTCCTTCCACAACCCACTGGGAGAGGCTCCTGACAACTAGGTGTCCTGTGTGAGCACACCTGGTAAGTCATCTTCGTCTTCACTGAACACATTGGGGTTGAAGACAGGCAGGTTCACGTAGTCCATGGAAACCTTCCGGATCTCTGGGAGATAGATGGTCATCTGCCGCGGCTGGAGGTGCAGGAGGCTGGTTTTATAGATTACTGGTGGGAGGAGAGGAGACAGTCAGTAGAGACATAAGGATGACAGCCAAGGCACCAACAGGGTCACAGCCAGAGAAAGGGTGGGGGAAGGGGGACCCCTGCCGTCCACAGACTGTCTGCACACGCAGGCCAGCCTGAGAGCAGCTCTCCATCTCTCCGGGGCACAGCCAGCCACACCAGCCAGTCTGGGTTCACGGATACCACATTTTTGGTCTAGCCCAACCACTCTGTCAATGGTTTGTCTATAGAACCACACGTTTAGAATGTTAAAAACCTACCCGAGACTTAAATTCTTTTTTTTGGAGTGAGCTGGGGTTATGACAGATATTTTTTATTTATTTATTAAAATATTTTTATTGATTTCAGAGAGGAAGAAAGAGGGAGAGAGAGCCAGAAATATCAATGATGAGAGAGAATCATTGATTGGCTGCCTCCTGCACACCCCCCACTGGGGATCAAGCCTGCAACCCAGGCATGCGCCCTTGACTGGAATTGAACCCAGGACCCTTCAGTCTGCAGGCCGACGCTCTATCCACTGAGCCAAACCAGGTAGGGCATGACAGATATTTTTAAAAAGCTTACTTGTAACCGGAAAGATGATTTAGTGAAAATAATTGTGATAACCAGACTGCCAAGCTCAGGACAAACTTGGGCAACCACGCAGCTGTTTGAGAACAACTATGAGATGATAAGGGGTGACGTGCATCAGGTAGAAATAAAATGCTGCCTTTATTCAGGACTGGATTCTTGTCTTAATAACTTTCAATTTCATGATCGTATAGAGATTTATCAGGAACTTCCACATGGTTTCTTTAAACTCTAAGATTAATTTAATTAACAGAGATATTTAAGAGAAAGCCAAATTGCAACTAAAATATTTAGAAGAGACAAAATAAGTTAAAAAAAATGAATCTGGCCGTGGCCGGGTGGTTCACTTGGTAGGAGCATCATCCTAGTATGCCAAGGTTGGGGGGTTCAATCCCGTGTCAGAGCACATACCAGAGTCAACCAATAAACGCATGGATGGATGGAGCAACAAATCGATGTTTCTCTCTCTCAAATCAATAAATTAAAAAAAATGGATCTGTAGGTTAAAATCAGGATGAAATTGCCTGTCAACTCTGTTTAATACTACTTCCTGTGGCCTACTATTTACTACTATTGCTCATTTTTTTGTTGTTGTTCCACCTCCACAGCTATCACCTGCCCTGGCCTGGTGGCTGACTGGCCAGCATTCCCATGGCACAGCAGGCCTTCTTTTTGAAGTTCCTTTGTAAGGCTGGTGCTTGGACTGGCGCTGGCTGAGATGACTTTCCAATCTAGTGGTCATTACAGGGTTATTCACGTGTTCCTTTCATGAAAGGATATTGACTTGTTACTTAGAAATGACATCTTTGAAGATTCACCACTAAGCTGCGCTCACAGCCAGCCAGCTGCTTCTTATAGTCTAATGCTTTCTTCAAGGACTGAAAGATACTGGTACCAAAACCTGCTCACAGTGAATGGCCAGAAATAAAAACAAAAAAACGGAAGTCTATAAAAAATCTGAGATCTTTGATAGAGATTTCAGCTATTTCTGTCATTTTTATAAGTTAGGGATGATTTTGTTGTTAATTCTCACCAGATAATATTTTTCCCATTGATTTTTCAGAGAGAGTGGAAGGAAGGGTGGGAGGGAGGGGGAGAAAGAGAGGGAGAGAAACATCCATGTGAGAGAGAGATATTGATTGGCTGCCTCCCTCATACACCCTGATGGAGGGCAGGGATTGAACCTGCAACCCAGGTACTTGTCCTTAACTGGGAATCGAACCTGAGACTCTTTGGAATACAGGGCTGTGCTCTAACCACAGAGAACACCAGCCAGGGCAGGGATGATATTTTAAAAAATGAAAGCATCACTGGCAAAAACCAATCTGAGTGATTATTCTGGATTTTTGTGATATCATAGTAGCTGTAGTCGAAGTTTCATGCTAATCTTTCGATGTCATATGAGCTCATTTTCTATTTTAGCCCACTGAAAACTGACTTTGTTTTTTCAGTCTGAGTTTCAACCAGGACATGGGGCCAAACACAGGACATGGTTTTACCTGCACCGAGGTTGGTTGGCAGGAAAGCAGCCAAGCCCACAATCTTAAACTTGGTTCCCCAGATATTAGACGTGACCTGAGCAAGATAGTTGTGCTGTGGAAGAAAAGAGGGGAAGAAACTTACTGTCTATCGCCACATTTCCTATCAATGAGAATGCTAACACTGCTGAGAAGGCCACAGGTGCTCCCACGGAAACACTCCTCCCCCACTTCGCCCACCACTGTGGAGAGCAGGAGCCAACGCAGCCGGCCAGCCCTGGTTTAAAGAGGCAGACAGGTCCCAGTGTGTCTGCGTGGGTGTCAGACCACCGGCCACCAGTGGGATTTGGGCACATTCACCGTCAGCTTGCCTTTCCGCAGTCACTGAACTAGAGACGGTACCTGGCTCTGAATCCATTTTTATCTCTGATGTTTCTTCTAAAAACATCAGCTGCCCTGACCCTTCCTGAAACTCTCCCATGATCTGTTTTCTCAGTCAAGGAAGTTAAAAACAATTAAAAGTTATCTCTGTTCCCCCTGCTTAAAGCAACTGATGCATAACTATCTCTGTCTAGCACAATTCCATAGCTAGGCAGAGACGCTTGGCCTCAAACATGGTTTTTTGAGTACTGTAAAAGTTCAGCTAACTACTTGTGTGATAGCATTAAAAAAAAAAGTTATCTGTGCCTAGCCATGCCTGCGTGTGTGTGCATCCAAAGGCAACGAACTGTCTACAACACAGCTTCCCACAGTGCCTGTGCCCTGATGACGAGAGGGCCAGGGATGGTGTGCACACGGGGAAGTCACTGGGGAATGTGACGGGGAGTTCTGAACCAGAGGCTCTGCAGTCACTGTGGCTAAGCCGGGCAGGGGAAAGCCTTCCCGAGGAGGGGGAGGTAGGTCTGGGAGTGCGCAGGCTCCTGGTGGCCAAGGCAGAGCAAAGGCACAAAGGTGGGAAGAGGCCGGTGTGGCTGTGTCATCTGGGGGGGGTGAGGGGGAAGCGTCTAAGGTTGCAAGGACGTCCTGTGGGAGGTGGAGCAGAGTAATGGGCCTCCTGAAGGCGGGGTGGTGAGGAGGACCCATGGGGCTCTCATGATCTAACTGGTATCTGGAGTCGGGACAGGCCTGCGGCGGGGTGGCGAGGGCCTGGCCATCACCGCGCTCGCACTGGGGAGGGGAAAGAGCTGGGGTGCATCAGGTACATGTGACCACCCGGAACCCAGACGCTACCTGAGTGATGTCTTCAAAGGGAAACTCCCTTCGCGTCAGGCTGGGCGAGCCAACGGAGGGCTTGCGCATGGGCAACCGAGGGGACCTGGACAGCTCCGGAGCGGCCCGGGACAACTTGGGTGACTTCCGAGCCTCGATGTTGATCCTGCAGAGGCGAGGCGGGAGGGTGAGGCGCCCGCTGCATGGGAGGGGTGTGCCACCCTGGCCGGAAGGCACCGCACTCCTGGCGTGCCCCTTCACCTTCCAGCCGTCACCCCGGGGTGTCACACTCTTAGGAGCCAGGCCCCTTGATTTAACCGAGTCCCTCCCACCTGTTTTTGCTTCATGAACAGGAGAAAAGTAGGACAGAATTATATACTGAAAAACCCATATTTTGAAAGATAGTGAGATTAGGTTAAGTGATTCATTTGTAAGGAATCGCAGAGAAGTAACTATCTTTCACTTTCTACTGACTTACGGTAAATTTAGAAATGTCCATATCTTCTGCCAGGGGTCTACAAAATCAATCTCAAGGGAAATGGCAGGTGGGAAGTCACATCTCACCTTATGACCACAATCATCTTACAATTCCTAGTACAACACTGGATTTCAACAGACCTAGCAATTCAGGCCTGCGATATTTAAATTAAATATTTCAGTGGAATGCAAGTTTTTCTGAAGCCCCCCCACCCCTTTCTTTGTTAATCCTCACTGGAGGATATTTTTTCCATTGATTTTTAGAGAGATGGGAAAGGATGGGGAGAGACACAGAGAACGAAACGTCAGTGTCAGAGACACAATGATTGGCGGTCTCCCGCATGCGCCCTGACCTGGGGCTGGGGATGAAGCCTGCAATCGAGGTATGTACCCTTGACTGGAATCAAACCCAAGACCCATCAGTCTGTGGGTGGATGCTCTATCCACTAGCCAAATCAGCCAGGGCTCTGCAGCCTTTTGGTTCTATGTTCCATCTGTGGTCTGCCAGTCTAACCCAAAGAGAGAGTTATAAAAATGAACGTGGCGAGGTTGATGACATTCTAAGAAAGAAAGGCCTTAGGCCTCCCATTACTACTGAGCCCAATAAGACACCAGCACCCACAGAACGGGAGCGCGGGGACTGAGCTGGTGAAAGCCCTGTGTGAGCTGATGGGCCTGCCTGCTGCATGTAGGGGACTCAACGCAGGGAAAGACGAAAGGAAGGAGGATGAACTATGGGAATGGCAACATCCAGAAATCTTAAAAGGTCCTTCATAGGTGAAGGGTTTAGTCACTTTTTGTTAAATGTCCTTTCTGCTTAAGTTACAAGAAAACCCAAAACACTATAGAAGTGTAGGAAAGTTCATAATTTTATTTGTAATTTTAACAAGCTTAGAACAAAGATGAAAAAAAATCAACCAGATTGCTGAAGCAACTGGCTATCTATATGGGAGAATGAACACTGACCTCCAACTCACACCACGCACCAGAACTAACGGGGGATCCAAGTGAGAGCTAACACGACAAAGCTTCTGGAAGGGAATGGAAGAGTGTCTCCACCTCACGGTGGACACAGATCACCGAACCAGGGCAAAGAAAGACCCACAATGAAGAAATTCATACATGTATTAGACTACATGAGAGTGCACATGTCTGACAAGGAATCATAGCTAGAATACATAAAGAATCTTACAACTCAAAAAAAGTAAAACAATGCAATAAAAAATGGGCCAAAGACTTGAATAGACACTTCACAAAGGAAGATGCTCAAATGGCCAATAAATATGTAAGAGCCTTTTAGCATCATCAGTCATTAAACTACAATGATACTGCACACCCCCCAGAACGGGTAAAATTATTTTTAAAAAATGGCGATACAATTGTAGGTGAGAAGGAAAGCAGCTGGCACTCTCATACTTTGCTGGTGGAACCCACAATAGTATAGGCCCCTTGGAAGACTGTTTGGCAGTTTCTAGTACAGTTGAACACACAGCTACCCCCAGGCCCTACAATTTCCCTTCTAAGCACATGTCTCAGGTGAATGCATACATCTGTCCACAAAAAGACGTGTACAAGAAGGTCTACAATGGTTTCATTCATCATGGCCCAAAACTGTAAACTACCAAAACCCATGACTTTGTAAATGGAGTAAACAAATTGTAGTATATTCATTATAGTGGAATTCCACAGCACAAAAAACTATTGCGAGACACCACATGAGTGAATCTCAAAATCATTATAATGAGCAGAGGAGTCAAATAAAAGAGCATGTATTGTTGGGTTCCATTTATGTGAAGGTCAAGTAGAAGCAAAACTAGTCTATGGTGACAGAAGTTAGAACAGTGATTAGTCTAGAGAGTGGGGATCGAATGGGAGGCTGCACAGGGAGCTTTTGGAATGATGGAATGTTCTTTAACTTCATCGGGGTGGTGACAAAACTGCCTTAACCAGCTGCACAATGAATTACGTGTTTCAGATCTGGGCAGGTCTGTATCTGTACGCAGCCTGTACTTTAATCTTGCACGGCATCACAGAATTTTAAGCTAGAAGGTCTCTATCTTAGTGAAGATCTGGTCTACCCATGAACTTCTACAGAGAACGACATGAGTATCCAGTCAGGGTTTGTCCATTTACACAGCCCACGGGTAGTGACGCCAGCATGAGAAAGGTAATGCTTCTTACCTGTGACACCAGGGCCCTTCCTTCTACTCTTACAGCTCATTTTGATTTTTAAAATAAACTGTAGGATCCAAAGTTTTTGTTTGTTTACTATTTTCCCTCTAATTACAGCATTATAGGCATTGAATCTGACAATCTTTTCAACACATTACCTACACTGCAAAACCTTTTCCTAACTTTCTCAAACTGTATGCCTGGGGGCTCTGGCCACCCTGTGCCACTCGCCACCAGCACTGACCCAAGAGAAGCCCTGGGGTTTAGCAATCTTCCCACTGGGTGTCTTTTCCTGTTCCGAAGAAAGAAGGTAAGTTGTAGCCACTGCAGGCCGACCTTCCAGATGAATGTGGGGATGCCGGTCTTTCTGCGTTCTCCTGGAGTTGGTTTCAATGGGATTCTGCTACAGGCACAACACATTCGCCTCCAGGGACACAACAAAATGGGCAAACACCCCGAAGAGGAGATTACCTTGGGAGTTTGGGTGACTTGCTTGCTTGGGAGATTTTGGGAGATTTCTTGGCAGCCCAGTCATCACTTAGTTCAATGTCACTGGAGTCCGAGCAGTTGCAGCTATCGATCATGGTAGAGATCAAGCTGTTTCCATAGATTTCATCTGGTAAGACACCAACCAACAAGTTTAAGGGAAGTGACATTAGACCCTAACAACGATCATTACTAGGAACTAAAGGACAGGCCACCATTTAAGTCCAGAGAGTGAAATAAAAAGAAGCAGAGTACTGTCGCCTTTTACATTTTTATGCTGTTATATTTTCTAAGCAAAAGTAGGCAATTCTACATTTATCAAATGGGCACAGTATTTTAATGCCCTGAAATGTACAACATAGTCCAGTACTTTACTGTCCCAACAGCTGAAACCCAAATGGCTTCACTGTTGTCCTTATGACACACCAGGTGTCAGGGACTTGTGGGCTGCCCAGACCCGAGAGAGGGTCTTGCTGACTCATGGACTCCTCCCAAAACCTATTTCTGACCTGGGACCTGAGAAGGCCTGTTGGGTGCGGGCCTGTTCTCTAGAAAGGAGACCTGATGGAGCCGCCATGTCTGGCTTGTGGAACAGTCTGCTGGCCTTGCCCCAAGGTCGCCTGTGGGGGCCTGGCTCTCCCACTGGTGGAGCTGTTCGCAATGGCTGCAGGGAAGCCTGTGCAGGACTTTCAGGGCAGCTCTCGGTTCCACTGAGGGTACCTGCATAGAAGCCACTCAAGGTAACTCTGCAAACTGGCCACCAGGCAGAAGACTGGAGGCCCCAAGGCAGAAAGTGATATGCACCGAGGTGGGGCCATCACAAAACTGCTAAGTAGACGAAGCTCACGTCTGATATCCTCCTCGAAATCCCTTCTCCTTTGCTCCTTCCTCACACCCCCCCATGTGCCTTTACCCAAATCCTTGCTATGCCCCCTCCCCTGCCCCACCCCAGGGCAACCCTCACTGGAAGTTCCCCATTCTTCAAAAATCACTGTTTTGTGGACTAAAACCTCATTCCATGAAGGCTCCAAAAACCTTACCAGGTAATAAAAAAGCCAAATCATTCAATCATTCTGAAATAACTTATAGGAGGAGAGTGATTTTACCATTTGAAAGGACTGTTTACATTGGAAAGGATGAGTTTGTTAATCCAATCCAATCTCTAAATGTCTGAACGTATGGCAGCGACACCTGTGACCAGCGCAGCTCGGCACACAATGTGGAAGGCGGCTGGCTGATGCCCAGTCTGTGTGCCTGCATCAGCCCTTCTTAAACCGCTTACTGAACCAGAAGGCACAACTCGCGACTCCAGCAAGCTACAGTGGTGTGCCTGTGAGTTCGATCAAGTAAAAAGACTTAATTCCCGTGCCCTGAGCAGTTCTTCACTATTTAATTTAGGAGTCACTGCATCAGAGGGAGCTTGGCGACCATTCAAACCTGCATGTAAGGCCGCAGACTGCTTCCACGTGTCCATCGCACAGAGCTGGTTTACCGACTTGAGGAAATTCACTGAGGCACAGTCCGCTCAACCTCTGACCTCCTTGCTAATGCCAGGATTTTGCAAATGCTATACCATCACTTTTTCCATTACTCATATCATAGCTAGTTCAGGCCACTATAATGAACACCACGTGTGGGGCAGCTGATAAACAACAGAACGTATTTCACACGGTTTGGAGGCAGGAAGGAGGAGACCAGGTGCTGGCATGGCTGGGTCCTGGTCACGGCCCTCTTTAGGCTGCAGGCTGCCGACTTCTTGCTGTGTCCTCACTTGGCAGAAGGGGCTGGGGATCTTTCTAGAGCCTCTTTTATAAAGCACTAACCTTGTCATTATAAAGGCTCCACCCTCATTGCCTAGTCCAGCCATGGGCAAACTACGGCCCGCGGGCCGGATTCGCCCGTTCGGCTGTTCCATCTGGCCCGCGGAGCCGAAAGAGCGGAGGGTTCTCTTGCTCTCCCCTCCGGTTCTTCACCAGCAGCAGTGTTAACATGTATTAGTTCACACAAACACTCCATCCATGCTTTGGTTCCGGCCCTCCGGTCCAGTTTAAGAACCCATTGTGGTCCTCAAGTCAAAAAGTTTGCCCACCCCTGGCCTAATCACTTCCCAGAGGCCCCACCCCCTAATCTGGTCACACTGGGTGTTAGGATTTCAACACAGGAATTTGAGTGGGGGGTGGACACAAGCATTCACCACTAACTTTTGGGTTGTCTCCCCAGCCAGTGTATAAAGTCCATGAGGAAAGGAGTTGCCTGTCTTGCCTCGTGCTGTAACCACAGAGATGAAAACAGCCCCAGGGACAGTAAATACTGCCTGACAGAAAATGGGATCTTTGTTCTGCTGCCTGTGCACCCCACACCAACTGCAGCAGAACCCTGGGGTATGGGGTGGCACTGGTGATGCTAAAGCTCTGAGGGATTCCCCTGAGCACACCAGGTTGTGGACACCATTCATCTAGGAGCACAGTGGGGACCTCCCACAGCATGGTTAAAGTGGGGTGTGCTCTCGGAGCACATGCCCTGAGCCCGCCTGTCTGCCACTGATCAACACAACCAGCGATCCCGTCACCACACAGACCCACAGGCTGGGAGGCCAGGGCTGGTTGGCCAGATGTACCTCTTAGTTCTACAGAGGTGGTATCATCAATTTACTGTGGAAATTCTGGAGCAAACATCCACGTTGTAGAAAAATATAAGTTGGGATTGCCCTTTGAGAACCAAAGTTTGAACTATCTGAGGCTTCACATCCCAATTTTATCAGTTTTCAAAAATGTGCTTATTTCATTTAAATTGAAGGCTTTTCAAAATATGCAACTGAATCAGATATACTATTACAATTTTAAAAAATCTTTCAATGCAGTTTTAACAACTTCAATATTTAAAATTCTGTCTTAATTTGCGCAGGCCACCATAACTGTGTGACTTACACAGAAATTCATTTCTCAGTTTAGGAGGCTAGAAGCTGAGATCCAGGTGTGGGCATGGGCAGGTCCTAGTGAGTGCTGTCTTCCTGGCTTGCAGGCAGCAGCCTTTATACTGTTTGCACATGGGCTTTCCTCATTGTATGCATGGAAAGAGATATCTCTCTTCTTTTTCTTACTATACTACCAATCCTATTGGATGGGGACCCCATGCTTAAGGCTTCATTTATCCTAATTACTCCCTAAAAGCCATGTCACCCTGAGGGTTAGGGCTTCAGCATGTGCAATCTGGGGGGGACATAATTCAGTCCATAGCAAGCTCTGATTAAAGGTTCCTTTTGAAAACTGTGGATCTTTGCCTATATATATATAATATTTATAGTATAGTAATATTTATAACATTTATAATATATATATCTTTATTGGGACTCATGCTATTATAAAAATACACACTGGTAATTTTGATGAACATTTTGTTAAGTTACTTGGAGGACACTGACAACAGTGGGCTTCAATCGTTAGAGCATAAGTCACCCGGGTGC